TAGAGACAGGTGCAGAAAGAAACTTGGACTAACATAAGAGATTTATATTGGTGCTCCTGTCAGTAGATGGCGTGGAGTCCAAATGTCATTTTTCAGATCATTAGATGATATACTAATGTACTAAACTATCTCCCACATAACTGCTTTCACTCGACCTCTTTCAGTGAATTTACATTTCAGCAGTTGATTTTTAATGTAAGTATTGTTTTATCTAACTTGGAATATGTTAAAATATTTGTTTGTTTTTTGTTTTGTTTTCCTGATTCAACCTGTCATAGGGTGTAACGCTAACAGCAGCCATCGGAGGCGCTGACATGCCTGTGGTCATTACTGTGCTGAACAGCTACTCAGGATGGGCACTATGTGCTGAAGGCTTCTTGCTTGACAACAATCTCATGACAATTGTTGGAGCGCTGATTGGCTCCTCTGGTGCAATCCTCTCCTACATCATGTGTGTGGTGAGTAGATGCACATTTCCAGCATTGTGCATGAAGTAAAAGGATACAAACATGTCACTGGGCTGCTTCTTCCTCAAGGCTATGAACCGCTCCCTGCCAAACGTGATCCTGGGCGGGTACGGCACCACCTCAACACTGGGTGGTAAGCCCATGGAGATTGTTGGCACTCACACTGAGGTCAATGTGGACCAAACCATTGACATAATCAAAGAAGCCAACAACATCATCATTACCCCAGGTACACACTGTTTTACAGATGTCTCGAAGCACTGTTGAGGAATGTAATTTTCAGCTTTGTCATTGGTTGGTTAGAAAAAGTTACCAATCTGTGAAACTGATCTTTTATCAGTTTGTTTCATTTAATGTAGGTACCTATATTACCACAATAGTACCGCACTTGTAAGTGACTGTATTTAGTTATTAGGTTGCACTATCTAGTTTGATTAGCAGTGTATCCGACCATCCAAAAGCAATGGACAGTGCACAAGAGAGGTGAAGAAAAGAGTTCAGGCAGGGTGGAGATTTAGGATAGTGGAAAGACTGAGATGATTTTTGACAGAAAGATAGCAGCAGGAGTGAAAGGAAAGGTTTACAAGATGGTAGAGGGACCTGCTGTAATGTATGGTTTGGAGACTAGAAAATAGGAAGCGTAAATGGAGTTGGCAGAGCTGAAGATGCTAAGATTTTCATTGGGTACATCAGAGGAACAGAGCAGGTTGAGCAGTTTGGAAACAAAGTTGGAGATGCAAAGCTGATATAGTTCGGAGATGGGCAAAAGAGGAATTGTGGATATATTGGAGAAAGGATGTTGAAGATGGAGCTACCGGGCAAGAGGAAAAGAGAAAGACCACAGAGAAGATTCATGGATGTAGTGAAGAAGGACATGCAGAGGGTGGGTGTGACAGACGAGGATGCTGGGGAGGGGTGAGATAGAGGCAGATGAATTGCTGTGGCGACCACTACAGGGAGCAGCCGAAAGGAGAAGAGAGAGAAAGGAGGATCCTGTGTCGTCATGTAGGATCAAGTGAATGAAGACCTTACTCGTAAAAGCCTAGAGGTTTTAGCGTTTGGGCGATCGTGGCTCAAGAGTTGGGAGTTCGCCTTGTAATTGGAAGGTTGCCGGTTCGAGCCCCGGCTTGGACAGTCTGGGTCGTTGTGTCCTTGGGCAAGACACTTCACCTGTTGCCTACTGGTGGTGGTCAGAGGGCCCGGTGGCGCCAGTGTCCGGCAGCCTCGCCTCTGTCAGTGCGCCCCAGGGTGGCTGTGGTTACATTGTAGCTTACCATCACCAGTGTGTGAATGTGTGCGTGAATGGGTGGATGACTGGATATGTAAAGCGCTTTGGGGTCCTTAGGGACTAGTAAAGCGCTATATAAATACAGGCCATTTACAGGCCATTTAGACAGTGACTTTCTGGCAACTACAGGCTGATAGGGAAAATGTGCTGTTTTATTTTTGTTTGTTTTCCCCCAACCTGCTGGTGATAACCTTGCGCTGCTCTTATAGTTAATGGTGGCAAAATATGGTTGACCACAGCAATCTAGTGACCAAAGCTATTCTAAGGAGGTTTTTGGTGTAACACCCTGTTTGATTGGGGAGGGATTCCAGGTTGCAGTGAATGAAGATACTTAATTTTTTTTTTTTTTTTTTTTTAAATGACGAGTCATTGGGCCATGTCCAATATGGAGAACAACTTGAGCATAATGCACTAAGAAAATGCATAATAAACGTCTACTGTGTATACTATGTAACATGCAGGTAAAATAATGCAATCTTACTCACTGAACTGGATCTTTGATTTTATTATTATTTTTTAAATTGGCTGTGTCAGAGCGTGCCATATTATTTATCAGATAAGCATTACAAATGTCCTGCAGGGCTAAAGGAAGGATGTCAAACTCATTTTACATTGTGCCATGTACAGCCTACTTTGAGCTTAAGTGGGCTGGACTGGTCGAAATCCCAGCCCACTTAAGCTGGTGGGCTGGGATTATCAGTCTCTTGTTTATTTAAGAGACTGATAATGTCCTTAAAAAAAAACAAACGGGAAGTTTCTGTGGCCATTTAAGAAACTGTTTTTGGCACTCCAACAATGGTTTCAGGTGTGTTGTGTTATCAGTGGTTAATTAAGTCTTAAGCAGACATGAAGAGCAGGTAGCAAGTTAGATAAAACGGTGCTTCACCCAAAGTTTCCTCAATTTTGAAGTCCTTAGCTATAAGTTGTTTCATCATTCCCCAGGGTGGGGAGACGGTGTTGGAAACAGATGGAGCCCTTTAGAGACAGGTGCAGAAAGAAACTTGGACTAACATAAGAGATTTATATTGGTGCTCCTGTCAGTAGATGGCGTGGAGTCCAAATGTCATTTTTCAGATCATTAGTTTAGTACATTAGTATATCATCTATCTCCCACATAACTTTCACTCGACCAAAAAAAGTTGCTCTGTGAGATCAAAAACTGCTCTGGGAAAGCCCAAATGTTTTGCAGAGTACTTGGAAATGGTCAGGCATCTGATGGTAGCGTTTTCATTAAACTCAGAATGCTGAACTGTAGTGACCACAAGAGGGAGTAGTTTGTTCACAAACTGTCCACAGGGCCTAAATAATGGTGGTTTGGATTTCAGAGTGTGAGATAATGCCCACATCATGATTTATTAAGCAGAAAAAGCCAGACTTGTCTGACAAATGAGTAGCTGTTGAACGGCCTGTGCGAGAGGAACCACTCCGTGTAGCTTGGATACCAGGATTGCTGTTTTTTTTCCAATGGCTCCAAATCGGTGCAGAGACAGCTGTGTGGTCGAACATGCTGGTTTGATTAGAGAAACAGTGAAAAATCATAAGGGCTATTCGGTCCAGACTCTCCATGTGCTGTCAACAACAAAGCACAGCAGTGAGGAAACAGAAGGCTCCGGCTGTCTGGGGAATTACAGAAGATACAGGATACAAGTCACTGGCTTGGAAAAACTCGATTAGGGGTAATGCTGAACTCTAGAAGGTACCTGACCACCAGGGTTAAGCAGGGGTTATGCAGACAGACGGTAACTAGCTCTTTGCACGCAGGGGACCCCAATGCACACCACACATGCAAAAGTTTTCCTTAGAAAAATGTCTTTCAGACTTTTGACTGCTATGATTTAACACAGAGAGGAGTCTTGTGGTGGTGGAGGACAAAAGAAGGAATGAAGGGTGATGAATATGTGGCTTTACTGTTGTCCTGCAGGACTGATGTGCCTGTCATTTAAAAATGAACAATAGCTGTGAAATGCTTATCTATGACCAGGCACCCATCCGATAAAAGAAAAGCTGTTTGACAGGAGACTCAAGCAACCTAAAGAGATTACGGAGTATCTAGATAGGATATAACCATTATATTCCTACTAAGTTCAACAGGCCAATTTGCTCAGCTATTGCAAGTTTCTATATTTATGTTGTTAGGTTGGGGTCTGTGTGCAGCCAAAGCCCAGTATCCTATTGCAGATATGGTGAAGATGCTGAAGGAACAAGGCAAGACTGTGAGGTTAGTTTGTACACACGTATACACACACACACAAGGCAGGACATTCTTTTATCAGTGTGTGTGACAGGTTTTCAGTGAAAAATCAGTGATGTGCTGTAACATCTCCAACAGGTTTGGCATCCACCCAGTGGCCGGTCGTATGCCCGGCCAGCTGAACGTACTCTTGGCCGAGGCTGGCGTTCCCTATGACGTGGTCCTGGAGATGGATGAGATCAATGACGACTTCCCAGGCAAGCTCCGTTTTTAAAAATAAATTCTAGAAAGATCTGTTATATTTACCGTTACACGGCTGTCACTTTGGCAGGGAGGTGTTGGATTAAATTACTTGATTGGTGACTTGTAATAAACGCATCCGTTCCTTTTCTTCTGCGTTTGAAGTGGCCACATGTTATGTCTGGATACTTGGATGTGCCAAGTTATTAGGACAACACTCATTGTTTTCTTAGCAACCAGGCACGCAGGCTGACACACATGGTTCTGTTTATGGTGGAGGGAGATTAGTGCAGCGCTGGAGTTTGAGTTCATCCGCCTTGTGCGTAAACGTGTAAATGTTTATGACCCATAGAGACCGACTTGACATTGGTCATCGGTGCCAATGACACGGTGAATTCGGCGGCGCAAGAAGATCCCAACTCTATAATTGCTGGCATGCCGGTCCTGGAGGTGTGGAAGTCCAAACAGGTTGGTCTGCCATTATTAGATGAAATGTGTTTGAGGATATGGTACCAAAATAAGAAAAATCAAATCATATACCACCTTCTTTTCTTACTATTACCACCAGGTGATAGTGATGAAGCGTACTTTGGGTGTGGGCTACGCTGCAGTAGATAACCCCATTTTCTACAAGCCCAACACATCTATGTTGCTGGGAGACGCCAAGAAGACTTGTGACAGTCTGCAAGCAAAGATCCGAGAGACCTTCTACTAATTACAACTCATTACTGCCGTGTACAATTGTTAAGAACTTAAAAGTTATTAAAATATTTGGCATGTGAGATACTTATTTTACAAAAACAAGTTTATTGGGTCTGCAACAAATGTGATTACAGCAGAACACAAACGTCATCGTGCACTCATTTGTAAATTAAAATGTTTAAATGTATCAGAAATTCCTTTCTTTGTACTACTACATACACACTGTTGTCCATTCATGCATAAGAAGATGTCATTCGAGTTCAAAATCGAAAAATTATTTTTCTGCATAATCAGAATCTATTAACATAAAAAAACGCTTCAGCTACAGTGTTTGATGTGTTTTAATCTGTCCTCACAGGAAGCTTCAGCATTTTCCAGCAGAGGTTTTGGCTTTGTTAACAATTGAGTGCAGGTAGGAGTAGAAGAAGAGAAGGTTGTCGTATTCTCCGCTGTACTCCTCGTCGAGGCAATGCTCGTGGAAGTCCATGAGAAAATAATATATGGCTTCGATAGTAGCTAGATAAGTGTCAGGCTTGCCCTTTTGATGACGCCAGAAACACGTTTTTCTCATCTTCAACTCTACCTGGAGCAAATCTGGGGGAGAAACACATCAGTCACAACATCGTGAGATCATGGTAAATTCAATTGTGAGTGAATAATCACCAGCAGTCAAGAGTTCTTTGGAAACCCACTCAAATGCAATCTTTCATGATTACCTTGCAGTCTCTCGTCTGTGCTGATCTTATTGGTCTGGTTCCATGTGCTGTCAATGAAGACCACCCTCTGTAGGGGATCCACCTTTGACACCGAGCTTTTTGCTTCATCTGGCGTCCCCGACTCTGAGCTCTCGGAGGTGCGTGTGGAACCTTGAACTTGCTCAGTTTTTAACCTCTTTCTGCATGGTTCATCAGCGGAGTCGTGTGACCTGTCATGTAAACACTTCATCATGTCTTGAACTGAGACGGCCCTCGGACCAGGGAATACCAACACCACCTGGAGCGAGCGAAGACGGAGAGGAACGCCATCATGCAAACTGTGCTAGGGCACAAAATGTGTCTCGAACACGTGTTTTTACAGTGGGGTGATTTATAAAAGGCTAAATTTAGGAAGCAGAGAACAGGATGTAAACTGTTTGACAGGTGAGGGATAAAGTTGAAGAAGTGAAAACACTAAATCAATTGATTTAAATAAATGAGAAGACAAGAAGAAAAACAATACAAATGTATGGCTTGCGGACTAAACTCATTCAGCTGAAATAACAATCTGATTGCATAAGTGCTGTGAGCTTTGAACTGAAGAATGAAGCTGCAGCAAATAAATCTAAATCTTTTAGAAATGTTTCACCGGACATTGTTTGCAGACTGGGTAAAAATCTAAGATTTTTATGCTGAGAATAAACAACAGTACAAAATGCAAAAGATAAACATTTACAATTTGACTTTAGTGGAGAGCAACAGTTTCAGAACATACGCTTAAATTAGATTTCTGAATTAAAATACAAATGAATACAGTTTATTCAACACAGCATCGAGAATTATTGTAAGCAACAATATAAAGAAAAAGACTAATAGATGCCAAAGAAAATGCTAAGTCAGTGATATCAGACAATGGTTCAAAACTAGCAAAAGCCGCAGCATAATAAATACTCTCAACTACTTCCATTTGTTTTAGTGTAAAGTAAATTCTGAAAGGGAACCATCAGTTTACAAAAGGGGAGTGGCTTAACAAACCAAAAAAAAAACAACATTCCTCTTAAAACGGTCAGGTATAAAGACTGGACTAAAAACAATGAGTGAAAAAGCAGCCAAAATCCAAAGACAAACTTTGAAAGACCTTCAGAAAGCCTGAAGAACTATTGCTCAATAACAAAAGAATTGCTTTCGTCTTGGAAAGTGAAACACACGGGCACAGATCCTTTGCGCAATCACCTTTCCTCAGTTTGCTATGGTGGGCTTGTGTAATGTTTTTGTCACTGAGAAAGTTTTTAAACTTACAATGATTCCGACCTCTGGATCAGATAAAAATAACAGTTCACACAATCCCTTTTAGTTCTCAAAGCTTTTAAGTCTTTTTGGTACTAAATACACAGAAAAGTCCAAAAACTACATATGCCGCCCCGCTCTTTATATTATACACTCCAACAAGCAATCCAGCAGGCCTGATGGGATCTTTTGAAGCGCTGTTCTGGCCTGTAGGCCATATGTTTGACACTCATGGATTAGTAGATGAGAGAAAATCACTTTTGATGATCAATTTAACCTCGGTTTCCAAACAAAACATGCCACATGCTTTTCTGTGTTGTGTCATAGAAAACTGAATATGTTATTTGACTGAGTAGTGAAAACAAGACAAGTGAAGATACAAAGAAGTTTTCTGGGAAGTAATTTCCAGATGAATCAATCATAAACGTAATTGTTAGCTGAAGCCACATAAGGTACAAGGCAGACAGCATGTTTTACAGTTAAATGAACTCCATTCTTTTAGGATAAAAAACACAACTACAAGGATAAAAAAGAACTAACCTTGTCTTTTTCGTACTCAGGTATGCAGGGGTAAGTATATATTGTGACATCACTGGGTGCGAGAATCTTGGCGTGGATGGCAGTGCTCTTGCCATCTGTCTCGTTGGGATGCTTGATGATGTCTATCTTCACAGGAAGCTGAGTGTAACACACAGTGTGTAAAGTCAGGTCGAGGGGAGAGTTGGATTTCAGCAACATCATGTCAAAATATTTAACGTTAAATAATTTTTAAAAAAAAGGCATTTTGCAACCAATTAAGACAATGGTGAAGGCCTCTGTTAAAAGACAAAGCAGGTGAGTCCTAACCTCCTACAAACCTTCACTGTGGGGACATCTTGCAGGCTCATGCCCACTAAGGAGCAGCATGTGTAGCAGAAGAACATCCTCGAGCCTCCACATTTAGAGCACTTTAACCTGCCCCTTTGCTGTGCTTCCTCTAGCACTGCATGTGATGCCAATTTGAGCCCTTGGAGCTGCTGACTGGGAAGCTCACGGGAGTCGGATGAATCAGAGGCCAGTGTTTTTTCCCGGCAACTGGGATGATGACGCTGGTCCTGATCCAAGCTGCTCATTTTTACTCTGGTGACAGACTTGTCTTGGAGCACAAGTACACTCATAGCTGATGAAGAATAACAGAGCAAATAATGCCAATATTAGCAGACATAAATAATCTAACATTTACAAAGACTTAAACTCAAAGGACACAATAACATGGAAAAAGCTAGTTATGGAGCTAAGAGTTCATTAAAATTGTAAGTGGCTGGTAATGATTAGATTAGAAAATTTGTTGCTGTGATAGTACGGTGCAGCTTGAATGCTTTTCATCTAAAAAATGTCATAAAACAGCTACAGCGACACACACCCTACACCATTATGTACCTTAACTCTCATGTGAGTTGCCCAGTGAAGCAAGTCTTTCGTTGAATACTCGCTTTAGTAAAAAGAATGTCATAATCTTGACTGCATCTTTAGAGCATTGTAACTCTTGGAATGAGTAAATCTTTTAAAAATAATGTTTCATTTCACTATTTTATTGTAGCGTCTTATGATTTTACATAGGCCAGATTAGAAGCTGGTATATATGAATACGAGTGGCAAGATCATCGTGTTAGTTCTGCAGTTCTGGTAACTGAATAAGATCACATTATATGACATTACCCATTTCTGGTTCAAATATGAACGCGTCAAATTCCCAAACGTCACATTGTGAGCAGAGTCACTGAGATAGAAGTTTTTAGAAAACAGAAAACCATAAATCCTGTTAATGGAAATATCTAATTAGTCAATCACATAGCAGTAACGTAATCCATTTAGGATAGTAGACATGGTTCCAGATGACATGAAGAGAAGATGAGATGAAGTTCAAACCAAGCATCAGAAAGAAGGAGAAACCCATAAAAATGATCACTAAGCTATATCAGAGCCTAAGACAACTAACCAAGTGGGATACTAACTACATTAAAAATAAATGGGAAGAAGAACTGAATACAGAAATTTCGCAAGAGGGTTGGCACTCAATGCTGAAAGCACAGCACACCCCGAGGAGCTCCAAAAATTGGAGAATATTTGGCTGGAAATGCTTAGTTCATTTTTTCATCACACCAAAAATAAGGAGCACATTCTGAGAATCATTGGAGCTCTGCTGGATGCAGTGTGGGAACCTGTGTGCCAATCACACCCATAACCTTTAGACATGTAATAAAATAAAGCTATTTTGGGATCAGATTTACATGGAATTGTCTCAATTACTTGGATATAAATAGCCCAAAGTGTGAAAAAACTTCCCCTGAATAAATGGGAAAAAATTGACTTCCTATCTTTAAGGGTCTGGGGATACTGAGGATAAGAATTACTTATGATATGTACTGTACAAATCATGACACGAACTGGTGAGCCCCATGGTTTTGTTTGCTGTTCTGGATTGTCTGTTGTTATAATGAAAATGATACATAGAAAGTTTAAATAAATAAATAAATAAATAAATAAATGTGATTTAAGTGTCTGTGAACAAGGCATGGCTGTTGATGCCAGATGGGCTGCTCTGAGCTACTGGGGTTTAAAGACAATAGGAAGAAAAGTGTCAGTTCTGTAGGTGAAAATGTCTTGTTGCTGCCAGAGGAGAATGGCCAGATTGCATCAATCTGATCGCAAGGCAAGAGTAATTCATTAACCACTCGTTACAACCAAGGAATGCAGAGAGCATCTGTGAAGAAACATGTTGATGACTACAGTAGCAAAGGACCACATCAGGTGCTGCTCCTGTCTGCTAAGAACAGGAGACTGAGGCAACAACTGGTAAAATTGAAGACTGGAAAAATGTTGCATGGTCTGAGTCTCAATTTTCAAATGGTAGGATCACAATTTGGCAAAAACAGCATGAGAGCATGGATCCATCATGCATTGTATTAACAGTACTGGTATTGGTGTAATGGTGTGGGGAATATATTCTTGGCAAACTGGCCAATCTGTAGAGACTGTGAATCAAAAGTTTACATCACCTTGATGAATCGATGACACGTAGAATTAACGCACCTCTGAAGATTAAACTAGCAGGGTGTGCCTAATCAAGGGGCCAGTGATTGTATGTACATACTGTTGAATTTCTGATAAACATGGGGGATAGTAAGCATCAGCTAATGAGGAAACGCTGGTGTCCGAGTGTAGCGCGTTTGCTAAATACAGATTAGTAATTAGCACATGGATAAACAACATGAAACGTTGCTCTCTTTAACTTCTCTCTAGCGCAGTGAGATGTGATAGAGCAGAAACCGTACATCTGCAGCTTGCAGTTACTTTTCTTTGAAACCACAGACAGTATAAAAGAGTCAGTATTTTACACTGCCCATGCTTCAACATAGTGGAGCTAGCTTCTGTTAGCAAGCGTCACGTTTCCTCAGCCCCCGTTGCTAGCGTTCCCAGACACAAGCCAAAAAGTCTAGTTAAGAGAAGCGAAGATCAAATGAAGACGGATGCACTGTTGTGCACTGTTAGCTCAACTGGGTTCACTAGCTTAGCTACATAAAGGAGTCCCATTATAAAAGTGCCTACCAATGAAGTGCACAACGGCATGAGCGTCTTCTTCTACGCCGGAAGCACAGCTCCGTGTGAAGGAAATGCTGGGTAGTTACCTGTCGGCGCTAAGCAGCGAATGTGCTACTCGGTGCTACCTCGTAGGCAGTAGACACACTCCTCAAAGATGCCCTTTGGGGGTGTTATGGCAGCTGATTTATAACCCATAGATGGTTAATTTTCAAAATGTATCAAAGTAAAGTGAATAAAAGAGTGTGCTTTAGTCCAGTAAAATAAAATTACGAAGTTAGGGTTAACTCGAAGTAGTTACTCATACTAGCAGCCAATGAACGTCAACTCTCGCTCTTATGTATTTCGGTAAACGTTAGAAAGAAAAAAGATTTTTGTTTTCTTAAAATAAAACACAGTTTATGATCATGTAAACCTCTAGATTTTAAATGTACAAGTTAAATTACAAGTTTAATATTAAACACACACAGTGTATTGTGATGCTTTTTGTTGCATTTAAAAATACAACATTTTAGGCAATTTAAAAAGAGTTGTACATAGTTCTCAAAAATATTTAAAATAATATTTTAAAATAACCTTAAAGAAAAATTCTTAGAGACTCTGCTTATTCATATGAATCTGGTCCGTGGCAATAATTACAAATTCCAGAAAGCACACATTTTGCTTGGAGCAAAAAATAATTTGCTACCAGGAAATATTCAAAGTATGTTTTCTGTAGAGAACATAGTTGTAATTTAAGGGGTTTTAGCAACTTCAAAACTATTAATGTGTGTACTACCAGAAAATTCTTTAGTGTTTACGAGTCAAAATCTGGAACAGGTTGAGTGTGGAGATGAAGCAGTGTCCAAACATGAAGCAATTCAAAAACAGAAATGAAGATAGGGATTTTCCTGATATAGAAGAAGATATTTGGCTTTTAGTATATATCTGTATATCTCTGTTTGTGTAGGTGTCATTGTAAGTGCTTGGGTTTGATCTGTGGATGTAAGGATTTGGAGTTGTAAACACACAATAATATGGTAATATTTTGGTAAATGGATTGGATCTTTGTAGCACTTTTCAGCTCTATCTGAGCACTCAAAGGACTTTATCCAGCTTGCCTCATTCACCCTTTCATACAAGTACTTTTTGTATACATATGTGGTTTCTATCTAATATTTACACGTGCTCATACTGAGATTATTTCATCAGACATGAACTTGGAGTTAGTATCTCACCCAAGGGTATTTGGCATGCAAACTGGAGAAGCCAGGAATTGAACCACCAACCTTCTGATAATTAGATGACCTGCCTGACATCCTGAACTACAACTACAGCCGCCTGACCCTTGCATAGTGTACATATTCTGTGTAACAAAAATAGTAACAACAATAAACAATAATTTATTATAGTTGCTGATCTTAACACAGAAGCTTAATAAATACCTGATGAATTATGATATAAGGAATTGCACAAGTTTTACCCCTTTAAAACCAAATAATCAAGCTGTGATTGTGGAGGCTGCCAGCTTCAGTTCAAGGGGTTTGACTAAAACTTTTGTATTAACTGTAAAAATTACAGACTTTTTATACACCACCTACCCTCCATTTTAACAGTCTCAAAAGTTTGGACAGCAGAATGATAAGCTGTTTAGAAGCCTCATCCCTCCTCCTTTCATGGCAGTTTGGGATTGAGTCCAAGTGTTGAAGTTGCTTTTAGTAGCTTTTAACTGGAACTCTCAATATGACGTCAAATTAATGTTTATGAAAGTGATGGTGGCTAAATATCAAAAATATTTGATATTTAGAAATATTAAGAAAAACTCTGTCACAACATCTAACTGAATGAAGACTACTTGGAGAGCTAGGTGTTTCTAGGTGCATAAGCCTACAGACAAGACAGGTTTTCATTAATGTAAATACAGATGATTTACAACTAGGTGCAAACCACTAATTAACCTCAAGGACATGAAGGCCAGATTAGATTTTGCAAGAAGACTGTCATGGTCCTGAGTCTTTGACCCAGGTTTTTGAGTTTGTTTAGGCTTGCTGTTCTTTCTTTGGGAATATTGAGATTTTAATATTCAGTTTTGATAGTCTCTGAGTTTTGTTACTTGTGTCTCTAGTTTTTGGTTCTTGTTTAATTTCATTCTCTTTCGTGTCTGTCTTAGTCTCACCTCTGTGTGTCCTTCCCAGTGTCCCCAGTGTGTAGTCGATGAAGTCTGTTTATGAATGTCGAGTTCGATCTCTGTCCCTCGCTCTCTCTTTGTCTTTCGCTCTGTCTCGCTCCCTCTACTATGACCGCAACATCTAAAAGAGCCGGCGCAGTTCTGGGAAAAATCTTTGGACAGATGAAACCAAGATGAACTTTTATTAGTTATCATCATGATGGGATGAAAAAAGAATGGAGAGGGAGGGAAACAGCTCATGATCCAAAGCATACCACATCATCTGTCTTTCCTAGATAGATCAACTGAAAGATTTATAGACAGAATTACCTTCATGCTTATGATAAGTGGATGCAAACTTATGACTGCATATTTACTTAGGGGATTAATTAGAAATATTTCCCAGCACAGTGATGATTTTTGCATTTTAGTAGTTTGTTTTGTTTGGTGGTGTTGGTGTAGTGCACCATAGTTTGAAAGCCAGTGGCGCTTTTTACTTCAGTTACATGGTACTAACAGTGAATTACTCCTTGGTATGTCAAATACTAATTTATATTGTAATCACTGCGTGGTCTCATTTGGCACTGATTTAATTTGCTTCTCAGTAAAAGTGTGATGCTGCAGCGAGTTGCTGGAGGTCCTGATCTTGTTTCACAATAATCTGGTGGTCTGGGGATTCCGTGCAAAGAGCTGCAAATACAGAATTCCCCAGGTTGCATAACAACAGATTTCCTCCAGGGAAACAAAGTTTTACAGCCCTGAGATGTATCAAGTTCAACTGAGTGTTCCCTCTCCCCCTCCTTCAGGGCCTCCCCTTTCTCCCGCAGCCCCAAGTCCACTGCTTCACTTTGTACGAGACTCTGTAATGTCTCTCCCTGTTACTCTTCACTCAAATTAGTAACTTTCCCCCTATTCTTCTTTTCCCTATTGCACTGTTCAAAGCGAGTGTCAGACACTGCAATTGTCTGCATATGGTGCTTGTAATGTGGTGCACATGTGGCTTTCTGTGCATTCACTTTCACAAAAATGCTGCTGACTTGAGTTAGTCATAGTTATAGTCATAGTCTATAGTCATAGTCATTAGTTAATCATCCCAGGAACTACCTTTTTTAGAAAAAAACCCATCAACAACAATGAAGAATGTAAAAAAGTAGATAACAACAGGAATTACAGCTAGTTATTTACCTGTTCTCTGTTTCAGAACTACTGTTATTATCTGGTAATATAGAACTTTGAGTTCAGATTTAAATTTTTAATTTGACTGTAAGTTATCACGACTGGGGATGATTGAACAATATTGATGGACAACATATTCGTCTGAATGTCAATTTATTTGCACACATGATATTTATATTTGTATTAATAGTGATGGTAATAATATTACAGGGCACTGTTTTTTTTAAATGGGAAGTGACTTTGTCCTTATGTTCCTTACTGGCAAGAGTTTTGCAATCAGGATTTCAGTGATTTTTGATTTCAGAAATAAAGAGTCTTGGAACACTGTGTAAGCTGTAAGAATCTATGTCCGATGTGCCTGTGTTGCATCTTTTTTTCTTGGACGTCTGCAGCTTCACGTCTGTGACAATCTTCTCTCTTTCCCGTTGGCTTTGGCTTCCCCTCATCCTGCTGGGAATACGCAGCCTTGAGTCTGAAATGTGTTTACATTTTGAGTATGTTACAAATTATCTGCTAAGACTAACTTTGCGTGACTTGGCAGAAGCCTTCACCTTGCTCAGATGTTGTTTGGGTCAAACGTTTTTTTTACAGGATTGCACTCTCATTTTGACTGTCTTTATCTGACAAGGGTTTTCCAAGCCAGATGTGAACCCAGGAGAAAGTTAAAACTCACTATGCTGATGTCTGTATGTGGGCCTGCACACATGTGCTCATATGAGTGTATGCATGAACGTGTGGTGTAGGCACCTTGCCAATATGTCTGCAATATTTTTCTCAACTGGGAAGACTCCACCTTTTCATAATACAGCAGAAAACCAGAGGCAATTACCTAAAAAAATCTGACAACATTAATGTATTTTTTAAAAAATCTGCTATTGTAAATTAATAGTTCTGTTATATCTTAACCTCCCTTATCAGGTTAACTAATGTTATATTGTGTATCAAGGATTGTCCAATGAGATTCAAAATGTTCCCTTGCAGTGTGTTTGTCTTTAATCTATTTAAAGATATCAACATATTTTATTATGCTACTTAATACCCCCAGGGTACTATAGAAATATTAGAGTCTGAAACTGAGTGCTTCTTGTGCAATGTGTCCTTTCAGGATTGTGCTGTTTACAGTAAGAACAGACTAGAACAATCCCCAAAGACATTTAAGCTCAAACTCACAGCAAAATGCATTTTCTACAGTTTTATCAGTAATTAAAAAAAGGCCAAGTCCTGCATGAGTAACACATATTTAAGAGTTGTGCCTGAAAGCATATATATGTGCTTTTTGACTCATTTTCAGTCCAGTCCTCATTTCTTTCTTTTAAGTCACTTAATATTTCCCTGAGAATCATTCAAGCTTAAAAATGCATGTAATACATGTAACCCAAAGGTAAAACCAGTATTATGTCAACATTTATTAGAAAACTTAGTAAAGAACCTGTTTTAATCTTTATCTTTTATATCTTTAGGTTCTTTGTTATGAGCAGTCTGTGATACATGAAACATCATTTTTTTGTAGTAACAATGTAACAATGTGGTTCCCAAAGAGCTATTAGTTGAGAACATGCCATATCTTGGTATGGTGTGCCTTAGATGGTTAATTTTCAAAATGTATCAAAGTAAAGTGAATAAAAGAGTGAGGGTTAGTCCAGTAAAATAAAATGGTAAAGTTAGGGTTAACTCGAATAAATTTAAGAAAAAAGGTGTTGGACAAAATACAAGGAAGGGAAACAGGGAGAAAAGGCTGAGTTTTGCCAAATTACACAAGAACTGGACACAAAGTCAGTGGCATCAGGTCTGATAGAGTGATCATTAATATGTCTACAGCCATCTGTAAAACACTCTGTCATGGTGTTGGGGGTCTTGTCACAACTAATGAAACTACAAATGCAGAAAAATGCTGTCAGATTTTGACCCACCATGTAAAACCACCTGGACAGTGCTTGATTGTCATTATTTTTCATCATGACAGTGATCAATAACACATTGCCGTTGCAGTAAAAGCACCTGGATAGAAAAAGACACAGTGGAGCACTATCAGTCATGGATTGACCTCCCCAGAGCCCGAACCTCAACATTATTGAAGCAATGTGGGATCATCAAAGAAGAGCTTTCTATTCCTAACTATTACTGAAGACTACTTTAAGAAAGGACAGAAAAGTAGGCCCAAGAGAGTTCAGGGTGTGTTGAAGAATACAGGTGGTCATACCAAATATTGACATTCATGCTCCGTAGAATTGTACAAACCTTTTTCACCTTATATACTGTTTATATATATGTTTGCATGCGCGTCAATAAATCCCTGAACCTGTTTCCAATTTTCCTAGCAGAATATAAAGAAATGAGGGTATGTCGAGACTTTTGCACAGGAGTATAAATAGATAGATATGACATGTAAAGAAGGTGTGCTGACAAAAGAAGGAATATTAGGCAAGATAACTTTCTGTAAAGTATCTCTGTTTCTGTTCTGAATATGTAAGTAGGTCATTGCTTTTTTTTTTCTCCAAAGTTTACTTCGTGAATTTATTTAACCGTTTATACCACCTGGTGGACAAAAACAAAACAAAACAAACAAAACATGAATACAGTGTGCAATACTTTATTTCCACAGTTGCACAGTAAAAGATCCAAGTGGGTTACATTGAAAGAAAACGGGACACCTTAACATACAACATATGTTTTACGTAAAGAAAACAAATAACTTACACCCATAAATAACAAGGTACTGTAGTGATATAGTTAGTACTGAGATATTGCAGTGATATCATGAAGAGAGAGCTGGCCTAAAAGTTAAAAGTTACGACTATTTGATGAGTGTGGTGAAAATAAATACATCTCCTGGTGTATTTCTGTCTTTTTCATGCTTAGTAAAATGGGAATGATCCGTAACCTAAAGATAACATCTGTAAAAATAAATATCATAACCTTTTAGTGTACAGGATTATTCACTCTGAAAGAAAGAGATTACATAACATATGCATTTATTATGGTGTTCACTTTGTGTTTTCATTTGGGTATCTTTTAGCAGCATCAGCAGCAGAATATTTGAGCATTTCAAAGTCACACCCTAAGGCAGAGGGAGTGGGCGAGCATCTACAGTGCATACGGTTGGAACCTGCCAGCCAGTAGCAGCCTTTTTGTGTGGACTTTGCATGTGTTGGATTGGTTTTCGTCCGACATTCCCAAGAAAAAAACAAAAAAACAAACTAAACAGGAACAAGTGTAAGGTTAATAGGTGACTCTAAATTGGCTTTAGGTGTGAGTATGAATATGTATGCCTCCCGCTCGCTTTACAGGATGGTTGATAAATGGATGCCCTGTGTGGTCTGAGCACCATGAGGGGAAAAGAAAGAAAGAAAGAAAAACAAGTCCTGCTTGCTTCAGCACATCATGGTCAAGCTTATTGTGGACTATTCTGGCGATCATACGATTGTCCTCACCTGGCTGAATGTAGCTCATCGCTGAACAAGATACAACACAGGACTATACTGCATCGTATAATTTGTATTTGTATCATATTATATAGTTTTACTGTATTATATAGAAACACTTTTATAAAGAAGTATTGTTATTCAATTCAAAACACCAATAATATAGAATAGCTTTCATGATATTTCCGGAATTCCTGTTTCAACTTCTAATTTTTAAGATGATTAAAACGGTTTAGGTGCTCAAATTGAACTTTTTGTTTTCTGTTTTAAAAATGAAACATTTTGTAAAACAGGTCCTGGCTCATCTGCAACTGGAGTGAAAGTGGAGTGTATTCAAGTGTCTGTTAGCACGTATAGCATGACTGAATCCATAGATATTTAGCAGATAAGTTCTTTGATTTTTTCAGTCTACTCTCCTCTCCTCCGCCTTGCATTTCATAGGGATGAAATGAGATGCAATGTGCTCCCTCCTGGTCTTCTTCCCTCTCATGGGCTTTCCCTTTTGTGACAGGGCTATGAACATTTCTTTTTTTGTCCACTTGGCCGAGGAGTAAGCATTGAAGTAGTTTTCTAGGAAAACCTCCTTAAAGTTGCAGTTGTCGTTGTAGATCCTCTGTAATGGAAACACATCAAGCCATTAATATGATTAAGTAAACGCTCTGAACTTTTTGTTTTATTTCTGCATGATTTAAATTAGTTGACAACAATGACTTTCCTCCCTGTGGAAAAATATTACCTTTCCTTGCAGCTGTCCAGCTTTGTTCATAGAAATATAATACTGGCTTTTTACGCCTTTTATAGCCAGTATGCCTCCCTCGGACACTGTCCTGATTTCTAGGATACCTGCCAGACAGTCAGAAAAAGGAGGCATGTTACAGGAGAGATAAGGCGCTGTCATCATCCAGCCTTTACTCTGGCTCCAGCTCCACATACATCTTCATTAGCAAACGAGGTGGAGGTTCCTGTGATTAATCGGTCTGTGGTCTCTCTGACTTTATCCAAGCTTTGTTAAGTGGCCTGGGTGGCTTTTACACAAACCACAACCTATGCCATAGCACATATGGGAAACAGATTAGGGCTCTCTTCCCCAGGGACTGAGAAAACTACCTTCTTGCGTGTGCTTTAGACCTGGCATTTAAAGCCTGCTTTTCAAATCTGTGGGAGGGTAAACACATTTATTCTTCCCAATGTGCCATGTTGAAAGGATGGAATTTTTAAAGTATTTAAACACAGAAAATCAAATGATGTAAACAGCAAATTTCTTTGCCCAGAGTCCAAAAAACAGGAGATCTTTCGTGAATATTTGAAATGATTACATTATTGGGTTAAGTGAAGTCGGTGTTTAGTTATCTTGTAGGACTTTAGCCGAAAATGTAACTTAAAAAAAAAATTCATGTTATGTCAACAGGCTGGACTAATTATCAGTTCATAAATCAAATATCCATAACATTGACCTTTGGTAAAAACATTGCCATCATATGTATGAAAAATCTTTTGCATGCTGTAAACATATGATGTTTCTGTTTAAAAATAGTGAATGGTGAGATGTGGCAGTGGCAGCAGAACTAAAATAAATAGAGAAATGTGCTTTTTACAGACTGGCAATCTGGTTCAGAGCTCGTGTTTTTAGGCAATTCAAAACCTTGTTGATTTTTTACATACTCTAGAAATTCTTTCATTTGATAGGCAGAGGGGAAAGTAGGGGGAAGAGGTCTATTAAAGCTCTTTAGGCTGACACTGAGCATGCCACATTTGAGTGTTTGCTAGATCACAAACAGATGGGATCTCCCAATCTTGGAATGTTGTTTGTGCTTTTCTTGCTCTTGATATCTGACTTAATACTACTGACCTTTAACTGTTTACTCATATTTATTTAACCCCGCTTTTAGGTCCC